GGCGCGGCCTTCTCCCATTCTGCCCAACCCCCCCCCACGCCAGTTCAGCGGGCAGGTTTCCCGAGACCCGTTATTCACGGCCCCCCCCCCCCCCCCGCCCCCCGCTCAGGCAACTTCCCTTGGAAACCCGTGGACCGGGCGCTGACCCTGGCGGTCTTGGCACAGTCTCTGGCGACGCTGCGGTGCTGCTCCCTGGCCCGCGACGTCATGATCCTCGCGGACATCTTTGAGGAGGAGGACTTCTACCCCAGCACCTTTGGGTTTCGCCTAGCCCCCCCAGTGGAGGACGAAAGCCTGACGGACCTCTTGGCCCTGGCGGAGGCGGCGATGAGAGCGAGGGTGAGCGTCGCGTCCGCTCTTCATGGCAGCTTGTGCAGGGCGGTGCTACTGCTGTGACTCGTTACGGGGAAGGGGAATATCTTGGCTGGGGTTCGGTAGGATTTGCGTGTTTCGGGAAGATTTTTGCGCGCAGGCGGAGAGACAGAAGAGGGCTAGAGCAAGTGTGACACGCGAAGTCAGAGGGCAGGGTCACGATAGATGCGAGTGCGAAAAGCGTGGTAGGGGTGGAGGGGCAGGATGGCCGGAAAGGGGAAGGTTGAGGTTGCGCAAACAGGAGCGGTCGAAACAAATTGCTGTGGAAATTGTAGAAACCTCTGTGGCTATATCACAAACGGGTATGATGTGTCTTTTCTAAACAGCACGGAATGCAGAAAAGGGGGGTAATAAGCCCATCGAAACGACTTCAGGCAACCAGAACACACGCAATCGTCTTCATTTCTGGTGGTCACAACCCTCGTACGATGTTACAGCAGTAGGACAGCACGGTACGCCTCGAACCACTCCTCGCCTCTCCTTGTTGATGCTGCCACTTACCCCCCCGCCCCCATCCACCCCGTTCCCGCAGATTAAATGCACGGAGCCCCTTAGACAAACGGGCGGCGCAGGAGGGGGAGACAGCAGAAGCCCTGACGAGTGCATCCTCGCGCACCTCGAGTCGCGAACACAGCTGTTGCGGGCCTGCCTAGCCCTCCGGGACGCTTTCACCAACAAGCAGCGCTTGAAGCGTCTGAAGGCCCTCGAGAAGCGGAGGGCGGAAGAGCTCGCCCAGAAAACCGCCGGCGCCGGCGACGCCGGCACGCCGACGACGGAAGGGGCGGCGGAGACAACAGCAGCAGCAGGAGGAGGAGGAGGAGCATCAGCAGCGAGCGGCGGGTTGGCGGCGGGACAACAGAACGGCAGCGGGTCGGCGACGGCAACAAGTGGGCCAGAGGACGATGTGGAGGTAGACAGTGAGGTCGTCGAGGCGGCGACAGGGCTAGCGGCGATGTCCATCGGCGGCCGTTGTCCGGCGAAGGCGGTCCAACTGGATGACG